CTCTGTGGCTTTTCAAGACAAAGGAGCATTAATGGTTTCCTGTTTTTCATAGCTATGATTATAGATTAGGGGTTATCAGAGTAAACCAGGAACAAACAATGCAAAAAAAACCCATTAATTTTAATTCTAATTTTTAAAAAATGAAACAAAAACCAGTCAAACATATTGCAGCAAATGATAAACGGACTTTCCTTCCATCTGCCAGTACACTTTCCCATTCCCCCAACCCACAGTGATGGTTTTGTTCCCTGGCTTGCAAACTCACAAGTGAAGGATCTTTTTATACGTGTTTCTGAATCTGCATTAAGCCTGATAGGCATTGTAGTCTGCCCAGAAGTTACAGGGATAAAGATTCAACCCACGCAGGTTTGCTGTTGTTTCTAATTGTCAACAACAACTACACTTCACTCGCCTGGAGGGATCCAATTAACATACCACCACTACGGAAAATATTGTAATATTTTCAGTGTCTCAGCATGAGGAAAGTGTCTCATACTCCTCTTCTGCTGTGGAACTTGAGCTCCCAGTTAGGGCTCTAGTCTAGAACATTAACAGTTTGGGATAGGAACAGGAAACAGGCAAGCTTTTCTCTTTCTTCTTTTTGTAGTGAGTTCTGTATAAATATTTGTTGTTGTGAACCAGATTAAAAAAGACAGGAAGAAGGGAGACAAGCTCTTCTAGAGAGTGGGACACACACACAAACACACACACAAAACACACACAACATGCCCTGAAATATCACTATGGCAACATTTATACAATGCACAGAAAAAACTGCAGCTTTCTGTATTTGCTTCCTTGGATACCAAATGCAAATGCCCTCTCTCTTGGTGGTGTGTGTCTTTAAGCCATTCTTTAGTCTGCAACAACATTATTTCCCATCCCCTCTCCTTTAATCAGTACAAATGGATCATATACATACTTCTGCCACATTAATAATCAACCACATATTAGCTAAGCAAACACACAGCCATCACTGCAGGAAAGTGAAATGAACAGCTTAGAGATTTTCTAGTAACATGTGTACACTTTCTGCTGTTGCATGAGGGTTATGCAACACTATGAAAATTTACCAGTCAGTGCATAAAATATGTTGCCAGTCCTTTGATCAGTCTAGGAAAGTCAACAATTACCTTTTCAGGGAGAAAAGTTGCTTCCTTTTTGTAAGCTTAAGATAAATCACAGCCCAACATCACATCTCTCAGCTTTTTGCAAAGTGAAATAAATCCTGCTTAAAGAGAAAATGGGCTGTCCACACGAAAGGGTCTATTGCTATAAATAATGGCTTGCAGGATCAAGATCCCCATGGCTAGTAAAGCACGGCCATTATCAATTAGCAATGTTGTTTCTCTAAAAATTAATTGAGTTGGTCTTTAAATAGGTACCCACATCTTGAGAAAAGGATCCACATTAAATTCTGCTTACAGGATTTTGCATCGCTGGTTATTCTTATTAATGGACCAAAAGCCTCTTTAATGTGAAGACACGTTAGTAGAAAGATATATTCTTACACTGCAGTTCTGCAGACTATACTTTCTCATTCAAAATGCCCTGTAGATAATTTTAACTCCCCCAAAATGCATATTTAATGCCTTACAGCAACTCATTCCTTATTCTAAAGGAACAAGAGGAGAAACCTTTGCAAAATTCAAGTTATAGCCTTCAAGTCCCTGATAATACATGTACATATCAGCATATATTGTATGCACACACTGTTTTTATACTGCCAATTTTTATGGAATGTAGAGCTATCTCATCATAAACTGTCCACATTTCCCCATAACTCAAAAGTATCAGGACAGAGATATGTAAATGCTATACATATATAGGACACAGAGAGAGAGAGAGAGAAGGGAGAAAAGGAAACTTTCTAAGATATATTCATAAGATAAACATATACTGTTATGATGTTGGATCTTTCACTGGCTTTCTGAAAAGGCAAAGCAAAGGACTAACCTTCTACCCAACAGAAACTACATACACCTCAGAAGTGTGAAACCATTGCTTCCAAGATTTTGATGGTAAATATTTTGCATCATTAACTATCAGGCGGCTAAGAATCATTTTCATTTTTAGATTAGCTAATCTTGGATCGTCCAAGACCAAGCACAGCAAATGAAACAAACCTTTTAGAGCCAGTGCTTGTTCCTTTTCACTGGCAATTCATGCATTTCTTTTTTTATACACAAAATTGTTCCCTATTCACACACTCCAGGCTGTCACTTTCCTAGCTGCCTGATGTAGTTGCAGAATTGCTTACCCCTTTATCCTGAAAAAATAGGAAGGCATCTTGGCTAATTATCAGATGCTGATGAATGTTGCACTTATATTCTGACACAGGCAATAGAAAACAGAGTCAGCCACATAAAATTTCCACTCAGGCGACTATGGAATCAGTGTTGCTCATCCAACATAAGGAAGGGGCAAACCAAGGTTTTTGAGAATGTTTTAGGTGCTTCCAACATTTCGCCTGAGCAATACTGGAATGCACACCTGAATGTCAAAGTCCCTCCCATTACAAGATGGAGAGTACTAAACTCCAGTCTGAGCCACATGCTTTTAGCTCCCATACTAACTGGATTTAGCATCTCTGCAAGCGCGCAGTCACTCCTACACAGCAGTGAGGTTTGTTCCTGTTGCATCCCCAGTTTGTGACCATTCCCATACCCATACTTAGTGACATTTCAGGGCTTAGGTAGTACACTTGTAGCTTCTCTGGCCCAGCATGAAATAGTGATGGCAGTACCCTACTGTCAAATGGCAGGGTGGCTTTGCCTAATGATCTCTGATTTATGGGATAACAGCAGAGTGATCCTGTGGCAAAAGGATTGATTTTTCCACACTATCTTTGCCTTCTCCATCTCCTTTCGGGACTTGTTTGGCACCAGCATAATATCCATTCATGCTCCATCACTGCTGCCGCAAGAACTGTCCATAGCAGGACAGCAATTTATGACAGAATTTGCACAAGCAGGATAAGGGGGAATCAACCAGTTTCCTAGACTGACTAATATATCCCCCCCATGGGCACCAACAATAAATAATTGCCTGAAAACACAATTCAACTTGCTCAATTAAGGGAAATATGTAAAGAATGGAAGTGACTCTTTACTGGGTGTCTTGTTAAAGTCATTGCAGGATTAGGACCCGATTCACAATTCCCTCCATGTGTATATGTGTGTTTGCGTTAAAAAATATCTGATGGACACACTTGGAAGCTGGGTCAAAGGTTTGCTGCTTTCCAAGTAACTAACACTCAAATCAAGGGCCAAAGCAGGGGGGTGCCTTTGAAAAAGAGATGCTCTGATTTCCACCCCCTTCTTTCTAGCAGGTGATTTGAAGTATATCTCAGAATTATGTCTAAGGCTTATGTTGCTGGGTAGGAGGGTAGGCAGTTGGTGAAGCAACTTCAGAAGTGATTGTCCAAATGGAAATAGGAGGAGAAATAATAATGAAGACTTCCATCTTCCAGTAAGAAAGAAACAAAGGACTGGGATTGGAGGGAGGGTGAAAAGTTCACTGAAGTACAATATTTTCCCATTGCCCCCTACATCCATTTTGATTTGCTTTACGTTTTCACCTGAAGTCTTTCAGGGTTATTCTCTGCACATGGAGGCAAACATGGTAGTATGAGTCACATGTGAAAAAAGGAGTCATATTTAGCAAGAAGGTAGTGGTGCACACAGGCAAGGAAGGCAAAGCAAAAGAGACAGGGTGCCTTTATGGAAGAAACAGCCCCCAACTTTTCTTGCTATTCCACCGTAAGTCAAGCTAAATCCTGGCTCTTTTCTGATTTTGCTTCCGCACTCTACATCCACATACAGATGAGATCTTATCCTTTGGTGAACAGAGAGTTAGTATTCTTAAGTGGACAGGTTATCCAGCCTGTGCTTCCCAGCTTCCATTTCCCCACCAAAGAATAGGCCACAATTATTGGCTCCCCCACCAACTTAGGTGAAGACCAGTCAACACCAATGCACTGTTGGCATTGGCACAGTGAGGGGTGAGGCTGCGATCCGATGCACACTTACTTGGGTGCAAGTCTCCTTGAACACAGTAGGACTTATTTCTCGGGTAAACATGCTGGGGATCAAGCCATTGCCCCCTGCCCCCCAGTCCTAAAGGACCAGCTGAATCCAATGGGCCTCTCTTCCGGCTAGAAGTCGGAAAGCTGAATGAGCTGCAAACAATCACAGAATTACTAATAGTAGCTGAGATCAGATAGTGACGTCTCTGCTGATGGACCCATAATCTCGCTGCCAAAGGCATGTCCTGGGGGAGCAGGAAGGATTTACCCAGCAAACCACAGCCAAAAGGAGCTAAGAGGTGGAGAACGGAGTGCGCTTGTGGTGTGTGTGTATTTGGGGGGCAGCTCCCTAAATTCTCTTCCCTCAATCGCCTCTTGTAAGCCATGGGATGCCAAAGGCACAGCCTCCCTTTTCCCACCTGCTCGCCTTATTACCATATTCCCACGTTCATACACCATGTCTGCTCCGCAAGGTCTGCCAGGATGGTGCCCTTTACATAGGATCCCTTCGATTTCCAATCTCCGTCTTCCCCAAGTCTCTCTCTCTCTCTCTCTCTCTCTCTCTCTCTCTCTCTCTCTCTCTCTGTGTGTGTGTGTGTGTACATCAAACTCCTCCGGCTGTCACGAGAGACCTGGCAGCCTTCGGCCAGTGAGCGAATCAAGCAACGCACCGTCACACACTGCAGGGGCTTTCCGAAGGCAGAATCCCTCTCAAGGCACAGGCATCACCCAGAGAGCCGCAACGTCGGAGCAAAGCTCGCTGGCACAACCGCCGCCCCCCCCCCCCCGCAAAGAGGGAAAACATTAAGCTAGGATGGAGTTTCGCGGTTCTCCCTCCCAGCCCAGCCAACCACCCCCAACCCCAAGGGGGGGGGGGGACAAAAAACCCCAGTTCAAACTCCATCACATGTGTCTAATGGCAGGCAACAAGACACGGGAAGCAGAAAGCGAGAAGAAGAAAAATGGCACTCACTGTCTTTGAGAAATCGCCCAGAAGGAGGGAAATATCCAGAATGAAATTCCGATGGGGAAAAGGGGGGAAAAAGAAAAAAAGAAAATAAAGGTGTGGGGGGGAAACAAAGGGGGGGAAACAGAAAAAGACCACGGAGGGCAAAACTACATCATTTCGGCAGCAAATCCAATTTGACGGAAAGGAAAAAAGAAAGGAAATTCAATATCCATCTGCAATTTTCCATCTAGAGTTCAGTCCAGGCGGGCTCGGGCTCCAATCCACCGCGAGTGGGCTGCTTCCGCGGCACCTTCCTTTACATGGTGCGGCTCCCTGCTCGCCTCCCCCCGTAGCTCTTAAGGACGTGGCTGCTGCTTCAAATGTCCCCGCGTCTCTCAGCTTGCGCCTTCGTCGTCGGGGGCCGAAGCGAGGCGGGCAGCTGGCTTCTCTCTCCCGCTCGCTGCTCAAAAAGAGCAAGCGGAAGGTCAGGTCTCTCCGCGCCGCGGAGGGGGAGTCTTTCTCCTCGGAGAAACTTTTTTATTCCAGGCTTGGATCTTCTCCGGGGATGCTGGATCCTCCCCACCCGCCCCCCAAACTCCTCTTTTCTTCCAATCCTCAGCCACCTTGGAATCCCTCTCGGTGGGAGAGAAGCGTTTTTGGCTTCTGCGGAAGGTTTCCTTTGCCGCCGCCACCACCACCAGCAGCAGCCCCGTCTGTCTCAAACGGCCGCTGTTTGGTTTAGTAACACGATTTTGTTATGTCTGCTCAGCTCCGGCCAAGCGGCTCCTTCTCTGCGAGCGGATCCATGTGCGTCCACGTTACATCGGGGGTTCCCACGGCCGCGCTTCCCGTGTCTCCCCCTCCGCCCTCCACCGAGGCGCGTCCCCTTGCAACATCTGAAATTATTTTCTCAGAAACGCCAACTTTGGGGCTCTTCTTTTCTTCTCTCCCTCTCTGCCCCCCCCCCTCCGCTGCTCTCACGCTCTCCCCCCTCGCCGATCCCAGGATCTGATTAGATTTCCAATCACAACCCAGTGCGCAATCGGATTTCTGATTTCAGCCAGGAGCAAGCCAGCAATCCGGAGCATCCGCGTCTTCTCCTCGCCAAACTCTCCGCGTTATTATATCCGTTCGCCTTGCCTCCAACTCCTCTGCATTCCCCCCTCCCAGAATCGCACATCAAATGCAAAGAGATGCTGATGGTGGCGGCGAGCTTGGTGGCGGGAGGAGGAGAAAGCAGGGAGAGAGAGAAAATAAAATTCCCACCAGCTGTTAAGAATCCATCATCATCATTTATTTTTTTTAAAGGAGAGTCCGCTCCCAAGGTGGGTGGCTTCGAAAGCCCCTCTCTCTCCGCACGTCCTGCTATTGCTTCCCGATCCTTCCCGGCGTGCAAACTCCCCCTGCGGGAGGCGTCCTCTTCTCCTCCGCGCTGGATTTCACCAGCCCGGGGCTTCCCTTCCTCTTCATTTCGCCTCCCTCTCCATCTTTGCACAGCCAGCCTTTCCAGGACCGACGATGCCCGTGATCAAGTTGTTCTTTGGGAATATGGGGTGGCTGGTGGGGGGGGGGGTGAGTGGGAGAGAGAGAGAGGCGCGCGCGCACACACCAAACACCCTTAAAATAAATGTAAAGTGGGGGCGGCGATGATGATGGCCATGATGGGAGGGGGCTGTGTTCCCTGGCACCCCCTCCGCTCCCCGCCCCCCACCGCCGCCTTCCTCCTCCTCCTCCTCTTGCAATTTCGCGGCAAGCCAAGCGAGGAAGGCGATCTGGCGCCCGGCTCTCTAGTTCAGCTCCACAAGTTGGACTCCGCGCCCGCGCAGCGGCGCTGGGCGGTTCTCCCCGCCTTCCGGCACATGTCAGTCCCGCTGGCACATTCCTAGGAGGAGATCGGACGCGGCTCTTTGCAGCCCTTCCATCACTCGGTCACACAATTGGGCGGCTCGCTCTCCGCCCTGCCAGCAGCTCCGCCTTGATCTCTCCCTCCCGCCTCGGGGAAGGAAAGGAAGAAGCCGGAGATCCAGTTGCAGGCAGCGCGCTCGCGCTCTTTCGCCTTTTGCGCTAGGCAATGACACCCCGAGATTTGGAGAGAGGGCCCCGGGCCAGCCTTATTGCTTACAAGCTTTCCTGCTCTCCGTCGATCTCTCTCCCCCCCCCCCCCTTTACCTTCATCTCTCTACATCGCCCCCCCCCCCTTGTGATCAGTAAAATACAATTACCCAATTACCTCCCATCATCTTAGCACTGATTGGTCAATTGCATTAGCACTTGATGTCAGGACAAAAGGCGCTCCTGCGATAGGGCACTGCTGCCACCCGGCGGAGAGCTGGGAAACAGCCTTGGGTCTGTTAACCTCAAGGAAACTTCCGAAAGTGGGGAAGGAGTAATTGAAAAACAAGGGCTCATCTTGAGGAAAGGAATGTCAAAACTCATTTTCTTAAAAGCCTGCCTGCAGTGTTCACAGGTGCACGCCTAGCCACGGAAGGGGGGGCAGGGGAATTAGCCAAGGAAAATGAGAGTGCACAAGGCATGTTGATGCTTTCCTGCTAGATCTCTCTCTCTCTCTCTCTCTCTCTCTCTCTCTCTCTCTCACACACACACACACACACACACTTTATTTACAGCCCCATACCGTGCATGTTTACTCAGAAGCCAGCCTCACTTTCTTCGACAGGAGTTTCAAGTAAATGCACATAGGATTGCAGCAATAGTCTCATTAGGGCTCAGTAGTTTCACATCCACCTCTACCCAATGTAACAAAAAAAACAAAAAAAAACAAAAAAACAACACAACCACCAAAATCTCTTTAAAGGCCTTCAGATCATGGAGATCAGTGGAAGGTTCAGTAGGGAAGGCTAAGGATAAAGGTGAGAATGCATGTATGCCCCGCCCCAGGGACTGCAACTCCCATTATCCCTGACAATTGGATATACTGGTTGGGGCTGATGGGAATTGGAGTCCAACATCTGGTGGGCAACAGGTTCTCCGCTTGGGATCCAGATATGAGGAAGGAGAGAAGGGACTTGCTCTAACCCAGACTTCTGGGAGTAAGATGACATGGTCCTGCATGTTTCACTGCAGTTGTTACAAAGGAGGAGACCTTCAACACAGTCCTTCCTTCTACAGAACTGGTGGACTTGTTCCCACCCCGATGTTTGCGCAACGAACTCCCATCAGCCTCAGACAGCATGGTCAATAGGCAGCGATACTGGAAGCTGTATAATCCATCAACATCTGGAGAGCTACAGTTTTCTTATCCCTATTCCAGGACATGCACTATCAGAGTAGCACATCTCCCGAGGTTCCCAGTTAACATTTAAAATTTTCTTTCTGAATATATTACAGGAAATATACATTGAATGGTAAATATAAATATTCACCGGGCCTCACTGAAAACGTGCATATAATTTTTCCATGATGAGCGAATGTTGCACATTTTCCAGTCACCATAACACAATCCCCAAAAGGCTTTGAGGAATGTGCATATATTGATGAATTTTGCCCATTCTCTGGCTATTTTGCATAATCCCCAACAGGGCTTGGGCAATGCACATGTCTTAAATGCTTTTTGTACATGCTCTGGGCACATATATTTAATTATTATTTATTCAAATTATATCCCTCTTCTTCCAAAAGAGCCTTTTTTGCAGCTCAGTCCCCCTTTCACCACTTTCAACTGTTCTCTGAATTATTTATTGAATTTAAAAAATAAAAAATAAACATATTTATCTGTAGCCCCACCCTTCTTCCTGCTGATCATTGGGATGGTATGTTGTGGGTAGTGTAAATTTAAGCAGTGGGTCAGAAGCAGCCTGGAAAGTGCAGATTGCACTCAACAAGAAATAGAAAAAAAGCATGATTATTAGAGACTACGTATAATGACTGGAGAATGAACATACTGCCCAATGAGTATATAAAATGCAGTCGAGATATGCACTTTCCCCATAGCCTGTTGGGGGATGGTGCATAATGTTCAGAAAATGGACAAAATTCAGTCAAAAAATTGGAGATTATATATTTTGACTGGGAAATGTGCACAATTCCCTGTTCGTGGAAGAATAATTTACACATAATCCATGAAAGCATCAAACACTCAATTTACACATGAGAGAACCAAGTGAATGATAACCAAACAAATATATTGGGTCCTCCCCCCCCTTTCTCCCAGCCAGTTGGGATCAGGCAAAAACTGATCCCAGGAGGCACATGTCAGCTTGCTTCGCCTGACACAACACACATGGCTGTTGGGCTTCATCTTACTTACCCCAACTTGGAGCAGAAAAAAAATTCAAACACCCCCACATTTGTGTTACTTTTTCAGGAGTGTGTGGGTTACTGTTCAGCTGAAGTCTACTGAAGAGGGGTCTGAAGAGGTAGGGAGCTGTTCCACAGAACATAGCTTGCCCTAAGCATAAATTGTTCATCATAGCAGGAAGTTCCAGAGCCGCAAGCATCAGAACTTGGTTTTGGTTTTTTTATGTTTAACATTCAGCATGCAGAAACAATTGAAGACTGAGTATCCAAACTTGATGACGTTTCACACATCGTTAAAGTTTTCAAGGGTGGACAGGGACTGGGCAATCTCCCAGTTGACTCATGCATAGGGGAAGTCTTCAGAATCAAAAGCTGCTGCTGAAAGCCAAGCATATCTGAATATGATTCATTCCACTCCTGCATGCTTTCCTCTCAAAATTAAGCAGCCAAGTTTTCTCTTTCTTCCCAACTCCTGTTATTCCCTGGAGTTTACACCAATGAAAAAAATATTATATGCTATATATCATTCTCTTTCAGCTCCCCTTTAGATAGATAGATATAGGTAGATATGTAAATATGGTTGATAGATACTGATATTGCTATAAGAGTCACTGGATCTATGCCCACTAGGTGCATTGAGTTTAAAGGGGATTTACTCCAAGGTTAAGTAGTTATTGGATTTCAGCTTCCTTTGCGGTTTGAATTCTTCCCAGCTACAATATTCCATATTTTCCTAGTATTTGAAAGCAACTAGTGTTGAGGTGAATATGAAATTAATGGATAGAATGAATTAATAAGACATTATCAAGGGAGTAGTTGTTGTCATCCTCCAATCCAGATTAGGTCAGAGATTTATGCATAAACCATTGAAATAAATGGGACTTTAAAATGTTAAATCTTGCTTAATCATGCTTGGGCTGCAATCCTAACCATATCTCCTTAGAAGTAAGTTCCACTGAATGCAATGTTTCTTGCACCCATGTAAGTGGGGTTAGGATTGGAGACCGGAATTTGTTTGAGTGCTGTCAAAATGCATTTGTATGGCATTATAAAAAGAAAAAAGGATTGAGGGAAAGAATTCCACATGCATGTCCATTTCTCTTGAAAACAAGATAACAGCATTTAATTTGGAATATTTTATTAAAGAAAAATATATTTTGCCATTTTTCAAGTTGCAGTTAGTTTAAACACTTTCAAGTGGAATTGCTTTGAAGCTATGATCTGAGGGGCTAGTCATTTAACTTTCTCTGGTTTATTAGTTGATAAATTATAATAGCCATATTAAAAATAATAAAATTTAAAAGTGGAAATTAAAGCCTTAGTCTCAGCATATTAGAGCTCTGATATGTGTTTAATCATATCTATTTCGTTGACTATATTATCTCTATTTTTCAGTGTATATATTCCAGAACTAGTTAGAAATTCACACTCTAAAGTAAATTGCAGCAATATTAAGGGTTCCTAAAATGTATATTTTTGGCAAATTTAAAAGGAATATTAGACTGTATTCAGAGCTGTGCTGTATCTACAATTTGAGATTTAAATGAGACTCCTAAAAGCTGTGACTCCCTTTAAAAAAAGGGAATCACAAGTGGGGAGAAAACTGTAGCATTTATCTTGAACTTTGGCAGCATTCATCCAATTCTGCCCCCAAATAGCCATTTCATTTTGGAAATAAACATTTTAGACGTGTCCAGCACACACATGCAAAAACCTATTTGCCTGTAATTTGGCAGGCTTTCTCCACTTAGACAACCAATTTAGCTGAAACTTTCATCCACTTCTGTCAAAAGGAAATAAAGTTATAGTCAGATTTTTTGATTTCTCTGTAGTGAATGGGTTGGGTGGAATGAAGCAGTCCCAGACTGCTGAGTCCAGTCAAGCTGCCTCTGAATGCTCTGAGCTGAGTCATGTTTACAAAGTGTGAAACTGGGGCATGATTTCAATCTTGTGGTCATCACACACAGCCCTTGGTCACAGATTTATACAGTTATCCAAATATTATAGTCCCCCCCCATGGGGAAAATCCACATTTAAAACTGAATTTGATTTAAGTGCCATGGCTTCCTCACAAATAATCAAGGAAATGTTAATACTGGTGGTATACAGGTGTAGGGGATAATTATCACGGAAGATTATTGTAATCTCGAGGAGATAATGATCTAATATGGTCAACCCTTCCGTCTTTGGTCTCTTCCTAACTCTCCTATCTGTGTTTTATTATTTTCAATATCCCTTGTGAAAAGGTCTTTGATGGCACTGGTCAGCAAAGCCTTTGATGTATAGCCTGGCATTTTTGTCTTTTGAAGTAAAGTAGCTGAGCTCCCGTTGCTCGGTCCCTGCTCCTGCCAACCTAGCAGTTCAAAAGCATGTCAAAGTGCAAGTAGATAAATAGGTACTGCTCTGGTGGGAAGGTAAATGGTGTTTCCGTGTGCTGCTCTGGTTCACCAGAAGTGGCTTAGTCATGCTGGCCACATGACCCGGAAGCTGTACGCCGGCTCCCTCGGCCAGTAAAGCGAGATGAGCGCCGCAACCCCAGAGTCGGCCACGACTGGACCTAATGGTCAGGGGCCCCTTTACCTTTACCTTTAGCTCTGGTTGAGCCTGTATTAGCCCAACAGGACACAGGTCTATAAAATATCTGGTTTGGGGGCAAGTCAGTCAGAAGCTCAGCAGTGGCCACAGTGCTTCTCAGTGGCAGATTGAAGCGCTGCTTGGTAATGTATATTTTGCTTGCTATTTGGGAATAAAATCTTTAATCTTCTCATCCACTTGCATTTGTATTGCTTCTGAATCTAACTTTAAAAGAACCATCTTGCATTTGGCAAAACAACGGGGTGCGGGGGGTTACTATTACTTAGGTCAGAACTTCCCAATTTTTTCCTC